GCTCCTCTTTCCCCGGTGTCCAAGGATTTCCTGCCCCCAATGGAGCAGGATCTCCATGAAATTACATTTTTACCCCATTTTTGCTCCCTCTTTCCGTGGTGTCCAAGAGTTTCTTGCCCCAGTGGAGCAGGATCTCCACAGGACAAAATTTTTACCCCAGTTTTGCTCCATCTTTCCCCAGTGCCTAAGAATTTCCTGCCCCAACAGAGCAGGATCTCCATGGAATTACATTTTCCCCCCTTTCTGCTCCTCTTTCCCCCGTGTCCAAGGATCTCCTGCCCCAACAGAGCAGGATCTCCATGAAATTACATTTTTCCCCCATCTCTGTTTCCTCTTTCCCCGGTGTCCAAGAATTTCCTGCCCCAACAGAGCAGGATCTCCACGGAATTACATTTTTACCCCGTTTTTTCTCCGTCTTTCCCCAGTATCCAAGGATCTCCTGCCCCCATAGAGTGGGATCTCCATGGAATCCCATTTTTCCCCCATTTTTGCTCCCTCTGTCCCTGGCACTCCTGCCTGGATGGAGCAGGATCTCCAAGCATTTCTCCCCCCATCTTCCCTGCCCCACAGAGCAGCGTGTCCATGGGGTGACAGCAGCGCTTCCAAAGACCCCTTTTATCTCAGAGCGGGATTTCTGGCAGGATTTAGGTGCCCCAAAAACCCAGGATGAGGTGGGGACCCCCAGCCCCTCCGTGTGGGCTCTCCCTGGGCTGGGCTGGCTCCGTTCCCGGGCTCTGGACAAAAGCTCCATTCAGGGAAGCTCCCGGAGCCCAGACCTGGCTTTGAGGTTTGCACAGGACTCGGCAAAGAAACCTCTGTTATCCTGACAGGGAGTTCAGGGGGAAAAGATTCCAGTCCTGGAGACTGGAGCCCTGCTGTTCCTGGAAATGGGGAGCAGAGTCCTGCAGCTCCTCCAGCCTCCCAGGCTGGATTAATTCTAAAAATAAATATAAATATAAGGAATAAATGGAGGAATGAATGTAAATCTGTAGGGAGGGGAGGTGCTGCTGGTTCCCGTACACGACAGGAGAGCCCCAGCTCCACCTTGGATCAATCCCTGAGCTGGGGAGGGAGCGAGTCCCCATCCCTGGGATCGCCCCTGAATGGCACCTTTGTGCTGCTCCAGGAGCGAATTCCAAAGGGTTCCTTGTTCCTGAAATTCCCACATCCCCCTTGCTCTGCTCCCCTGCCCCCACAAGCCCGTGAGGATCCCGGGGGGGGTTTAGGGAGGATTTGTCCCCCACTTTCCAACAGGCAGCTCAGGAACCACATGGAAAAAATTCCCAAAACCTCTAAAATCTGATTTTTTTTTTTTGCAGTTGTAAGTTAAGGAGAGCTTTTCCAGGTGGAATCCCACTGCCTGCCCCTCTCCAGGGCTCTCCTTCCCTTTTTCCAGATCCATTTTCTCCTTGCCCTGGGTGAGTCTGGAGAGTCCCCAGGGACCCCTCGCCCCGCTCAGAGCCCCCCCCCCCAGCCCTGCTCAGTCCAGCTCTGCAGCACATCCCAAGAAAAGAAGGAGCAAAATTCCCAGAAAATCCAGCGGGAAATACAGAGCCCCCCACTGCTGCTCCAGGGAGAAAATCAAACTAAACTTGTTTAGCCAACAATTCCCGAATTTCCAAGCCCGCATTTCCCGCACGGAGAGGTCTGTGGGGCTGGGGCTGTTCCCGCCCTCCCAGGGGGACATTCCTGGGAAAAGCAAGGGAATAAAAAACCCAAAAGTGCTCAGCACTGCGAGGGAGCGGGGATGGAGAATGTCCTTTCTTCATCCCCTCTCCTTCCCTTCTCTATCCCCCCTTTCCTTCCTCTCTCCTTCCCTTCTCCATCCCCTCTCTATCCCCTTTCCTTCCCTTCTTCATCCCTTCTCCATCCTCGCTCCATCTCCTCTCTATCCCCTCTCCCCTTTCCTTCTCCATCCCTTCTTCATCTCTTCTGTTTCCCCTCTCCTTCCTCTCTCTATCCCATTCCATCCCCTTTCCCACCCCTCTCCATCCCCTCTCTATCCATTCTTCATCCCCTCTTCATCCTCTCTCCATCCCCTCTTAATTTCCTCTCCATCCCATTCCATCCCCTCTCTATCCCTTCTTCATCCCCTTTCCAACCCCTCTCCATCTCCTCTCAATCCCTTCTTCATCCTCTCTCCATCCCTTCTCAATTCCCTCTCCATCCCCTTTCCAACCCCTCTCTATCCTCCCCCTATCCCCTCTCCATCCCCTCTCCATCCCATTCCATCCCGTTCCAGCCCGGGGCGGGATGGAGCTCGGCACTCACGAGCTGTGCCAGGCAGAGGCAGCAGGTTTGGAGCAGGAGCCAGAGCTGCGACACGAGGGTGGCACGGGCCATGGCGAGCGGGGCTGGCACCGAGCGCGGCTGGCACCGAGAGCCGACTCGCAGAGCTCCGGGACACCGGGGGAGGAGGAGGAGCGGGAGGAGGAGGAGGAGGAGGAGGAGGAGGAAGGGGCTCATTAATATGGAGCAGAGGGATGAGGGCAGGTCCCCGCCCCTCCCAGGTGAGCCCGTGGGCTGGATGGGGCCGGCCAGAGGGTTTGGCACGGTGGGGACAGGAATCGTCATGACGGGGACAGGATTTGGCAGGATGGGGACAGGATTTGGCATTAGGGGACAGGATTTGGCAGGATAGGGACGGGATTTGGCACGTGGGGACAGAATTTGTCATGACAGGGACAGAATTTGGCACAATGGGGACAGAATTTGGCATGACGGGGACAGAATTTGGCATGACGGGGACAGAATTTGGCACGGTGGGGACGGGATTTGGCACGATGGGACAGAATTTGGCACAGGATTTGGGCTGGGACAGGACGGGGATGAGCTCGGGAGCCGCTGCCGGGGACAGCCCGGCCCAGGGTGTCCCAGGGGTGTCCCCGTGGTGTCCCCATCGCGGTGCCACCCCAGTGCCACCCCAGCCAGGGAAGGGGGGGGTCACAGAGGCAATTCCCATGGGGGGATGGATGTCCCGCTCACAGCCCCGTTCCCATTCCCATCCGATCCCGACCCCCATTCCCAGTTCCCTTTCCTAACCCCAGTTCCCGTTCCCACTTCCCTTTCCCATTCCCAGTTCCCTTTCCTATTCCCATCCCCATTCCCAATTCCCTTTCCCATCCCCAGTTCCAGTTCCCAGTTCCCTTTCCCATCCCCAGTTCCAGTTCCCAGTTCCCGTTCCCATTCCCAATTCCCTTTCCCATTCCCAGTTCCCTTTCCTATTCCTATCCCCATCCCCAATTCCCTTTCCCATCCCCAGTTCCCATCCCCGTTCCTATTCCCAATTCCCTTTCCCAGTTCCCTTTCCCATCCCCAGTTCCCTTTCCCAGTTCCAGTTCCCAATTCTCTTTCCCATCCCGAGTTCCAGTTCCCAGTTCCCGTTCCTATTCCCAATTCCCTTTCCCATCCCCAGTTCCCATTCCCAGTTCCCGTTCCCATCCCCAGTTCCCGTTCCCATCCCCAGTTCCCGTTCCCATTCCCAGTTCCCGTTCCCATTCCCAGTTCCCGTTCCCATTCCCAGTTCCCACCTTCCCCGGCAGCCGCCCCCCATTCCCAGGGAACACGGGATGATTCATCCCGGCCGTTTCCTCCTCCTCCTCCTCCTCCTTTAATAATCTTTTTTAACTCTTTGCTATCATAATGCGACCCGGGCTCCCATCTCGGGTTGGGCATTATTCCTTTTATACCTGGCTGGCACCACAAATAACTTTTTATAGGGTGAAGTAAAGCCTTTATCTTTCATGAATTATTTCAGCTCAATCGGTCAGTCTTCTTGAATTATTTCCCGAATTAAAAGAAGCAATTCCATCGAAACCGGGGGAATTTAGGCAAAAAAAAAAAAAAAAATTAAAAAATCCAGGCTGAGAGCATCAGGGAGCGTCTCCTTCAGGATCTCTCCCTCCCGGAGCTGCTGGGACGCTCCTGCTCGTGTCCGCGTGTCCCAGCACTGTCCCTTTCTGGGACACGAGTGTCACTTTTGGGAGGGTTATGTAATTCCGGATTTCTCAGAGTACTTCAGTGACAGATTTTTGTCTGCTGTCGGTGCCATTGCTCCTTTTATCGCGGATTTTCGGGCACTGCCGGTCCTGAAATTCTCTCCTAAGCACGGCCACCAGCCCCCCGAACTGCCAGGCGCCCTCCAACCTAAGGGACAGCATCCCAGGGTACCCCAAAATCCCCTGTCCAGCACCCCTGAGCACCCCAAAATCCCCCCACAGCACCTCTGTATCCCTGAGTCCCCCCCATCCCTTATCCAGCACCTTCGAACCTCCAAAACCCAGCATCCCTGTACCCCCACCCGGCATTCTAGCAACCCCGGGTCCCCCAAAATCCCCCACCCAGCACCCCAGGATCCCCACTCAGCATTCCTGGACCCCCACCCAGCACCTCTGAGCCCTCTAAACTCCCACCCAGCATCCCATAGCTCCCCACACACCTCCCACCCAGCACTCCCAGAACCCCACAGACCTCCAAAATCCCCCACCCAGCACCCCTGGACCCCCAAGATCCTTCCCCCAGCACCTCTGAGCCCCCCAAAACAGCTGGAGCATCCCTCTACCCCCACCCATGGCCCCATCGCCCCCCATAAACCTCCCACCCAGCACTCCCAGGCCCCCCAAAATCCCCCACCCAGCATTCCCACGGCCCCATAGCCCCCCATAAACCTCCCACCCAGCACCCCCGAGCCCCCCATGCCCTGCCTGTCCCCCTCGATGTCTCCCCCCGCACTGTCCCCTCCGCATCCCCCATTGTCCCCACTCCCCCCAATTATCACCACGTGACCCTCTCCATTCATACCCCCGGTGGCCCCGCCCCTCTCTCCTCATTGGCTCCCGCCGGCGCGCCTCAACCAATCACCGCTCAGCATGGCCGAAGAGCGGCGGAGGCGTTGCCGCGCGGGGCCGGCGCTGATTGGCTCCTCCCCCGGCTGTAGCCCCGCCCATACCGGAAGCAGGAAGCGGGCGGGCCGGCCGTGACCCGCGGGCGGGCAGCGCCGGCCGCGCCATGACGGGAAAATCGGTGCGGGACGTGGAGCGCTACCAGGCGGTGCTGGCCGGGCTGCTGGCCGAGGATGAGAACAAGTTCTGCGCCGACTGCCAGGCCAAAGGTAGCGCGGATGGGCGGCGGGGCCTGCTGAGCCCGTCGGTGCCCCCCCCACCGGCCTCGCCGCTCGGTGCTCTCCGGTGTCGCCGCTGTCCCGAGGGTCGGACACCCCCGCTTGGGTCTCGTGGGGTTGGGACTCGCGTTCTGTTTCCGCCAGGGGTCCGAGGGCAGCGCTCCGGTGATGGCGGGGTGGGCAACGGTGCTGTCCCGGCGGTTACGGGGCTTGCGCGGGGGCGGCGGCGGCAGCGCGGGATCCGTGGGGACAGAACGGGGGG